GCGCCCCACGAAAATCTCCCGGCTGCGATGGTATTCCGAAAGAGTTCTACCACCGCATGTTCGACGTCATCCACCGTGAGTTGAATCTGTTGCTGAATGAGGCACTCAGCGGTAATCTTCCTCCAGCGTTTGTCGATGGCATCATCGTGCTGGTTAAGAAGAGAGGTGGCGATGACACAGCCCGTTCATATCGTCCGATCTCGCTGCTCAACAGCGACTACAAGCTCTTCTCCCGCATTCTCAAAACCAGACTCGAGCAAGTGATGAGAGAGCACCACGTCTTGAGCGACGGGCAGAAATGCTCCAACTCAGAGCACAACATATTTCAAGCCACTCTTGCTCTCAAGGACCGGATAGCACATCTCCGCCACCACCGCCGTGCCGGGAAGTTAATCAGCTTTGATCTCGATCACGCTTTCGATCGGGTCCGGCACTCTTTTCTATTCGAAACCATGCGCTCGCTCGGCTTCAACCAGGATCTCATCGCTCTACTCTCGCGAATCGCCAGCCGGTCCACCTCTCGGCTGTTGATCAATGGGCACCTTTCTCGTCCGTTCGAAATTCAACGCTCTGTACGGCAAGGGGATCCGCTATCAATGCATCTCTTCGTTCTTTACCTGCATCCACTAGTGTGCAGACTCGAAAGAGTGTGTGGGAATGATCTGCTAGTGGCGTATGCGGACGACATCAGTGTGATCGTCACATCGACCAGGCAAATCGATGAGATAAATAGGCTGTTCACTCGTTTCGAGAGAGCTGCTGGCGCAAAATTAAATTTGCGGAAAACTGTTGCCGTCGATGTTGGCCTTTGCGAAGGCAACAGAATCAACACTCAGTGGCTACAAACAGTCAATGTAGTTAAAATTCTGGGTGTTGTTTTCGCAAATTCAATACGACTGATGACAACGATGAACTGGAATGCGCTAGTGGGGAAGTTCGCGCAACAAATGTGGCTGCATTCTCTGCGCACGCTGACGCTGCACCAAAGGGTCATCATGCTCAACACGTTCGGAACGTCCAAGATATGGTACCTCGCGTCCATTCTACCGCCGTTGGGAGTGCATACGGCAAAAATCACATCAGCAATGGGTACGTTCCTCTGGAGAGGGACTGTCGCCCGTGTCCCAATGATGCAGCTCGCACGCAGCAGTGAGAATGGAGGCCTGAAGCTGCAATTACCAGCTCTGAAATGTAAGTCACTCGCAATCAACCGACACCTACAAGAGATCGAATCCCTTCCTTTTTATAGATCCCTTCTTTTCCACAATAATCCCCGCCCAGCCATCTCAATAGATCTTCCCGACCTTAGACAAATCCTATCAAACTTATCCCAAATTCCCCACCAAATCCAACAGAACCCCTCCACCGATCAAATTCACCAGTACTTCGTCCAGCAAACTGAGCTACCAAGGGTGGAACGTAACAGTCCAGCAAGTGGATGGTCACGCATATGGCGAAACATTGCATCGAGGCAACTTACTTCAGCGCAGAGGACAAAGCTTTACTTGTTGGTGAACGAGAAGATAGAGCACCGCAAACTGCTATTCGTGATGCGGCGAGTAGATAACGAAAACTGTACGCATTGTGGCAACCGGACAGCAGAAACTCTCTCCCACAAATTTTGCGCTTGTGCTCGCGCCGGCCCGGCTTGGACGTTCTTCAGCAGAGAATAGCTGTCATCTTGGGTGGATGGAGGCGACTCGAGTTCGAAGATTTGTTAAGACCTGCCCTATTAGGAATAAACGGCAGACATAGAGTGGCAATTCTGAATATGTTTATTACATATATCTGCTTCGTTAACGATTGTAACGGTAGAATTGATTTAGCTGATTTGAACTTTAATCTTGATGTAGCAAATTGACGGTAAAACAAAAAAACTTTGTATGCTAAACTGACAAATACAACTTCACTTTTACAAAAAAAAAAAAAAAAAAAAAAAAAAAAAAAAAAAAAAAAAAAAAAAAAAAAAAAAAAAAAAAAAGTTCAATGATTTGGGTTATCATTCGTTTATGGTTATTTTTTATTAGGGAAGCCTACCGCCCAAGAAGAAGTCGTACTTCCTTACATTCAAAAAGTATTTGTGGAGCCGAAGCATGCTGTCAGTAGTAAGGATAATTGCTGCTTGCCATGGCTTCCAATACTTCTTGATTCCCACACGGCAGCCATACACAAGTTCCTTAAAGTCTTTCAGTGCACTTATGGCATTAGCATAAGCCTTTTGGTTCTTGTAGCTGAGTGCTAAAGCCGGAGTTCTAGCGGTCATGTACGAGTACCATGTTGACGCCATTTCAAGGAAGAGCGCCGTAATCAAAAGCTCTTTCCGCCCACTCTGAGCACTGAAGCATCGCAATGCTGATACCACAGTATGATTAGCGTATTTCGTAGCATTTTTCACCTTCATTTTGTCAAAGTTAGAGTGCGGGTTTGAAAAGTCTTCTTCTGTCAACCCGCAAGCCATTTTTAAATCGCAATGCGCTTCATATGCAACCAGCTCTGTTAGGTGGGTGATATCTGCTGTAGAACCAGACAACCCATGTTTTTGAACCACAGCTTCCGGTAGTTCAATTGTTCGGTTTTTGATCCAACCATGGATCATGCTCTTGAATACATGAACGGAATCAGGTACGATTTTCAGCGTGCGTGTGGAATCGGAGTGTTCATCATGACTCGCTCACGTGAGTGTTTAACGCCGATGTCATTCCACAACTTCTTGTTTCCTCCTAGAAAATAGCAAAACAATTAATTTAATTAAAAACCTCCATAACCATTTATTACGGCATGCACCTGCAGCCCTATCGCTTCAGTTTTGTTGATTAACTCGAAGAGTATCGATTTGATTCCTCCATTTTTTATCGAATCCCCGGTGAAGTGGTATCCAACCACTTGCTTCCACCGGGACCTCAAACCAACTAGCATGAATACCAATAGATGGTTCGCTAGCTCACCGTTACCGGAAAGTGTGACAGGACCAACATACTTTTTCAAGTTAGAACAGTAGTTCGAGCCAGGCTGAATAGCCATTTCGTCGAAGACAATAGCAGCGTCTTTGTCCATTTCAGACATGCTTTTCACCTTGTGCTGTAGAAGTTCCAAAACTTCATCAAGGCAGCCATGGTCGAAGTGTATGTTTTGAAGTTTCTCCTGGAGGGTTCGTGTACTAGGCAAAAAGCGTTTTTTACGCTCTACCTCGTATGCTGTAGAACCGCAAATAAATCTGGTCCTGAATCCTTCAGTTACGCTGTCGTCTGACCATTTGGCAATCTTCTTCAACCCGGTCATTAAGGAGTATTGGTCATCGTTCACGACGCTTTTAATTTTTGACAACTGGTCCTCATAGTCTTCTAGTTTACTTTTTAGGTCCTGGTTTTCGTTTTTGTACCGGTCAATCTGACTGAAAAAAAATCAATAAATCAAAATAAAACCCCACAAAAATTAATTATTAAAAACTTACTCAACAGCGTTAAAACATTCATAGCACGACGAAGCCTTTTCCTGTGTTGGCGGATTTGAATTTACGGCATCCGATCCGTGTAGGTCAACAGCAGCTTCACAAAATTCTTCACGTTGCGTGGACAGATTTGAATTCGCTTGATCCGTGTTAAGAGCATCGACCGAGTCGAAATTCCAGAAGCTTTCATCCAGGTATTCCACCTCGCCATAATCTGAAGCTTCTGTATCAGTGCATAGCGTTTTCGGTTCTGGAACTGAACTTAACTGAGGGACGGCTCGAAACCACGGAACAGCACCATTGATCTTCCGGATCTTTCCAGCTGTGTCTCTATACAAATTATCCTCTTTAAAATGTAGCTGAGAGGGAAAATTTTTATAAATATACCACTCAATCTTTGAAATTTTATTAAAAAAAAACTTACACTACACAAACGGTGACTATCAGAGAGTCTGAAAGCAGCAGTCAACCCGCAGAATCCAAGCCACAACTCGCGATCAGATTTTTTCACCGGAAATCGAAAAAATGCCACGTTTTGGAGCTCGCTTCGGGACTCATTTTCACAATGTGGAAAAAAGCACTTCATTTTTGGGACATTAGCCGACGGAAACCGGTGAAAAACGAATGAGGAAGTAAAAATCAACAAACAAGCTGCTGCCGAAATCGGTTTGTTTTGATTTTTGCTTTGAGTCATGAGGCGATTGAACTTTTTCCAGTGCTGGCAAATTTATGGTGGTATATTTTCAGTTGCCAGATCTACGGATTTTGCATCCGCATGTCTGTAACTAGACAGTCTATATCCAGCAGCTCCACCAACCGAGGGGGTGTTCAGTCTAGCTGATTTCCCGTCGATGGATATCGATCAAAACCAACGAACGACATCGGGTCAATCATCTCCTGCTTTCACCGGGTTCTCAGTAGAAAAACAACAGCGAAATACCGACTATTAAACCGAGGATCATCACACTTCAAACGTTGAAAGCACCAGCTCATCAAACGCAACAAAGGATTTCATTGAAAATACCAACAAACGCTGGCTGTCGAAGCACAAGGAGAACGAAAAAGAGAAAGTTCGTGCTGATCAGTGCATCCAGAAGATCGGTCAGCAAACAGATCGTTTAGATTAAAATAATGCAACTCATCAAATAGGGGATAGTATGTTTTAAAAATAAAAGGCCCAAGCAATGCCTAATAGGCGAGGGGGTCTTATAAATCTAGAACAACAATTGAAATAGGCGGAACAACCAAACGTAAACAATGGCTTTAAACGCAAATTCCTCGAGAATCAAACCCCTCTCACGCAAACTAACCATGCCATTCAATAAAGGAAGTTTGCTCTATCAGATGGTGATGTTAGATTTCTTCGATGTGTTTTGATTATCGCGGAGTTTGCCATTGTTTACGTTTCGTTGTTCCGCCTATTTCAATTGTTGGTCTAGAACTAAACGCAATAATAAAACAATCCCAAATTATGCTACGACGATAGTAACGCTTAAGTGTATTTAATCTTGATATTTCAGATTTGTTCGAGATACATTTCAATAAAAAAAAGCCTGTTTTAAAAAGGTCATGGTGGTTATCAGTTATAAATCAGATAATACTTTTTCGTTTGTAATCTTATTTCTAATTCACCCTACTATAGCTTAGCAGTACCTTTTTTTATAAATTAATAATACTTTGTTGGCCATATAGCAAATGTATAACGGTAGTATAAATAGCATCCATTCTTACTCGGTAAATCAAGCCGATTCACTTCATCACATTTGTCTAATACTAGAGCAGCTTTTGGACTTGCACTGTCTTCGGAGGCTTCCGCGAAAGTTGGCCGATTCTTCGACGTCGGTGTCACTGTCACTGTCTTCGTCTTCATTGGCATTGGTCATGGTGGTCTGCTTTCGAGAACCCTCCGCCGGTGCTAGTCAATTGCTAGCCTCATCCGTACTGTCCGTTTCGTACATTTCCGACTGCTTCTGTATCCGGTCGCGGTCCGATGCCGCCGCCGCTGCTGCTGCACCGTTCATCCTCGTGGCCCTCTGGAGAGATTCGAGGATTTCGTCCGTATCGATGATGACGATCGGGGTGGCACCGTCCGTGAGCTGTGACCTGTTTTGTATTTCGCGGAAACATTTGAAGGTTAGGTTTAGGGGTGGTCCAGGAGGATTGCGTCAACTAATCTACATACCGGCTGTTCTGTCGTTCGTAAATTTCGCGCGATACGCTGCGGGTGAAGGAGAACCGGGTGGACATGCTGCGGGTAAGCTTCTTCGGTGGCTTCTTGGTGACGATGGTCAATGGTTCTTCAACTGATGGCACTATGCACTCGGCCAGCAGCGTTTCCTCGGCAAAGTTTCTGATTTCGTCCCAGGCGTAATCTGTGGGGAGGGGGAATGAGAGGGTTAGTTGCGTCAGAAAATTTCGCCCGGTTAGCCGGTAGGTTGTAAAAATAGAGTATGTTTGAACTGAAGATAAGCGAGGAGCGTGTGCGATGATGACAACGCTATCGATTATGCAAATCGTGGTCGGCGGCCACGTGGAAGATATTGCGTTTGACAAGCCCAGCACGTGATAGCATTCTGGAGATGGGTTTGCTTCACACTCGGTAGGATGGTTGTTTACACGGTGGAGCTGGTGGTGATAAGAAGAACTTACCAATGTGTTCCGCCGTGGCATGTTCGTATGTGACGCAAAACCGGATGATGTATTTGCCGCGGACCATAGCGGGAGTCATGTGGAACTTGCCGGAATGGTTAATACGGGCCAGCAGATCGCGATTGAATCGGTCGTGATTTCTATAAAAGATTGAAGCGCGTTAGAAAATCGTTTGAGATTGCGAATTCGCTTTGGTAATCTTACATCAACCTGAAGCAAACCAATCCTAAATAGACATCGTTCCGTACTTCAAACCGTTCGTCCGACAGGACCAGCGATTCAAAGCGCTTGGCCAGAGTTATGTGATTGCGGATGTACTTTTGTAGACCAGTGATTCCGTAGGAGCGGAAAACGAACCACAGCTTCAGGGCCCGGAATCGACGACTCAGTGGAATGCCGTAATGCCGATAATCTACGGCACTGCTGTGATCGTGTTGTAGATAAAGAGGATCAACGGCCAGCGCCGTAGTAAGAAGCTTGACATCCCTAACCCACATGGCCGAACAATCAAAGTTCGTCAGCAGCAGTTTGTTCGGATTGGTGTTGAACGAATCGGCGTACTCCAAACCCTTCTTGAAGTGTCGCATCTCCGGCAAGATGAAGGAATTTCCTGCGTAAGCTCCGTCCACGTGGAACCAAATGCTGGGAACCTGTTTGCAGACCTCTCCAATCTCGACTAGGTTGTCGAACACGCAAGCGGAAGTTGTGCCAACCGTCGCGACCACAAAGAACGGAGTAAGCCCGCATTCCAAGTCACGTTCGATCGCTTCCTTCAGTGTATTTCCTCGGAAAACCCCACGGTGATCGGTTTCCAGAACCCTCAGTTTGACAATCGCCATCTTGGCAGCTTTCTCGATCGACGAATGTGCTTCCTTGGAAGCATAGGCCACGAGCTGCGGCAGGTAGACACTGTCATGCACATCCAAGTTCTCGCCTTTGAGTTCCTTGATAGCCCGAGCTCGGGCCGCCATCATGCAGACCAGTGCGCACTCGGATGCCGATCCTTGTATAACCCCTCCGCCGCGAGTACCGACCGTATCGCTGCGGAAGAACGCCGGCAAGTCTAGCGCCTTCGCGTACCAATCCATCACGATCGATTCCAGCTCGGTAGCAGCCGGTGACGAAGCCTGTTTGCAAACACAAATTAAACAAAAAAACGCACTCTCATCAATCTCATCACAAACGGGAAAGTCCACAAAGCAGGACCTGGCCAAAGATCGATTCGTAATCAACACGCTCTGTTTCTACTACTGATGCCAATATTTGCAGTTGCGCGATCATCATCATTCAACTCTCGATCGATCAAATATTGACAACAAGCGCTTTGCGACGACCGACGATGGTGACTTACCCATGAGAAACCAATTGACCCGATCGCACTGCTCAGCATGTCACCGAGGATCGAGGGGTACGAATTGCCGGACGGGAAGTACGCGAAGAACCGCGGGTGGTTCCAGTGGACCATATTGGGCATGATCTTCTTCTCGACGTCCTCGAGCATCCGCTTGAAGTCTTCGCCCTTTTGGGGTGCTTCGTCTGGAAAGAGGCAATGGCAGAGAATGGGAGATTATGTAGTGCTTGTTGTAGTACAAGTTCATATATGCTAATTTGGTTATATTGAAGAAAGGTTTATAAACAGTCGCAACTTAGGACCGCTTCGGAACGTTCATTCACGCCGCACAGGTGGCACCCGAAACGGGGGGTCTGTTTGTGTGCTAAAGATTTGTTTGCGAGATAAACAGTTTTTGTGAATGGTGATGAAATGTGGGTATGCGTTGAGCGGAATATCTTTGACACAATTAGCCAACCGGTCAAGAGGCAAAGTACCAAGCGTTCCCTTTGAATTTGACGTTGTTTCCAGTAGCAGAACTCCGTTGGCAGTTTTGTGAGAGTCGTGCTTACATAGCTAGATCAATGAAAACGTGCATCGTTCCTATCGTTTGAGTTAGAGTGCATTACATCACTACGGTAGTTGAAATTGTTTATGTTTACAGATCTACAGGTAAATAATGGTCAGAATGCATCATTCATCGGTGTTTTAATATTTGCAGATTCATTCGATCTATCATTCGATTCATGAAAGTGAAACTGCACATTTACCAGAAATGACCTAATCGTGGGATTTAAGAGATGCTTTTTCAACCTTCAAGACACAAGAAATCGCACTGTTTTCGGTCCTCCGGCGTATTTCTTTTCGCCTTTTATCTAAGCTCAATGGATGAACCGGACGAAGGTGGCAAGTGGCAGAGATGCTTTGGTATTTCCCATCTAGATGAAACGACAGGTCGTACACAGTGCACTTTTTTTTCTTGCTTGCTTTGAATGAATTCAAGGCAAATTTGAAAACATGCCTCATCATCGTCCACGTTTGCTGTTATTCCGCAGATTTATTCGTAAGGCTCTGCCATGCTGCCTGATGAATGTATGGCGTACTAATACTCATTAACGATGATCTTCAATCGCTATCGTTGTTAAATCATCGTCGTACTTGAATCTGTCAAACCATTTGTCAGGCCACAGAAAACGTTTTCTAGAATGGAAGAGTCTTCGATGGAATCTCCGAATCCACGAATGGAAAAGAGGGATAGGAAAAGTCCAGGAAAAAACGAGGAGCCCAAAAAGCACATGGGTGATCAGGAATGAAGAGGAAGACGTACTGTTGAAAATAATAATGAAAAGCAAAGAGCAAATGATAATGAAAAGCATAAGAGTCGAGGAGGAAAGAGAAGCAGGAAGAGGAGGCAATAAAGAAAGAGATAAAACTCTTGGGGAACTTCGGGAAACTTCGCGAACTTTTCCAGCCCTGCTCGATCAGAGGCGGGATTTGCTGTTAAATCGTTCCACTGAACATCGACCAATGAGATGTAAATATGTAAGACTCAGTGTATTTGTCATATATTTCGTTCTCCAGCTGTTTGAACGGTTGAAGGAGTGTGACGTCAAACTCCGTCATCCATTTAATCAGCCGGATCAGACGTAAGAGACGAAAAGTTTACTGGGCCTCACCTGTTTACGCTCATTGTTTTTTTTCGTATGTGAATTTGATTCCAAATATCAACAAACCATCGTTGCTTATGGCTTGTTGTCGTTTGGAACCAGTTATGCGAGGTAGGCGACGATTGTTCGTATTTGACAGTAACCTTCACAGCCACCCCCAACCCCCAACTACCAAAATTTGGCATTATATTTCAATTGTAACTGTTTATTTCAGATTCATGGGATATGATTTAAAAATTCCCGAAATCAAAACATTCGGTATTTCAATAAAATCTTCGAACTTTGCGTTTAACTCCATCCATTAGTGGTGGCCGTCTTTGTCCAAATTTGTTGGCAGTGTTTGATATATTTGATTCCTTGTTTCTTTCCAGAAAGCTTCCGCTTCATCAGAGCCCAATATCTCTCGGTTGGACGTAACTCTGGACAATTTGGCGGATTTGTGGTTTTTGGTTTCGTACCACTCCATCAAAGTTTTAGCATAATGGCATGATGCCAAATCGGGCCAGATTAAAGGGTTTTTTTTTTGTGTGGCTTTTGATGAAGGGTAGCAATTGCTTCTGCAGGCACTCTTTCTGATCAATCTCCTTGTTGATTGTGCCTGTAGTGACGAAAGATTTCCTCTTTCGGCCACACGTGCAAATTGCTTGCCAAATAAGGTATTTCAAGAGCCACATGTGAAAAGGGCATACCAGCTTTTCGTAAACAAACCTTTGTAGGCCCTTTTCTCACGAACCGAGGGTCGCTCATGCAAACTAACAATATCATCGGGAAGGGGAAAGTTTCCCTTACCCGGTGATGTTGATGGTTTGCGTTGGTGTCATATGGGTGGCGAGAAAAGGGCATAAGAAGGTTTGTTTACAAAAAGCTTGTAAGCCCTTTTCACATGTTGTTCTTGATTTGTTGAGAAATTTCGATGCCTCCTTCGTCCTGAAATACTGAGCTGTAGCATTTTTGACCACAGCAGAATAGAAATCCAGCAGTTGAAGCTGCTTGAAATCCTCCCGGATATAAGTTTCATCGTCCATAACAACGCATGGAAACTTCGTCAAATATTCGCAGTACAAACGTTAAGCCCGTGATTTTGCTGTCAAATTCTGTTTGTCGTTGCGATTTGGAACTGTTTTACAACGTTGATTCTGGAATGCTTCAAGCAGTGCTTCCTTATCCAATGGTTTAGCTTCGTCCTTTGCCCTGGTAATCTTCTTCTTGAACACAACCATATCCTGCGGATTAGCCACCCGGCCACTGTACTGCTGCCCGAAGCGGATAGACTTGAACTGCTGCTCCACATCGGTTGTGTCCAATCGCAACCGAATCAAGGGCAACTTCGGTTGCTTCTGGTTTCCGGTCAATTTCTCCTCGGCACGCTTGGTCAGTTCTTCGATTTTCTCCGCGGCGAAATTCTGCATCTTTTGCTGGACATCACCCTCGTCCAGTCGCAACTCATCGAAATACTCAGCCATGTTGACCGACTCTTTACTGGTGATTGTTGTTTGCCAAAACGTTCTGTCAGCGATAGTCAGTTGATGCGTTGACGAGTGTCGAGTGAGTGTCATGATATTTTGCATCACTGCTCTGGTGGATTGGTTCGGTCGATGAGCCGGGATAACAAATCTGCACATCCGAAGCCGTTCGTGGACACATGCAGTGGAATTCCCTTTTTCGAACCGAAAATAGACAGCAATGGCTTGTGGTCGGTCAACAATGTGAAATGTCGTCCGACCAAATACTTATGTAACTTCGTCAATGCGTAGACTAACGCAAGTCCTTCCTTTTCAGGTTGTTCAGGTTGCACATCCTTCATGATGCCATCGGGAAACTGGTGAAAGATTACTGCACCACCGATGCCAGTTCTTGATGCGTCTGCTGCCACGATGATCGGCAGCTTGGGGTCGTTGAGTGTGTCAACAACAAGTTTGGTTGAAGAACTGTCTTGAACTTTTCGTAGAAATTGACCGCGCCCAGAAACGATCGCAGTTCAGTGACGTTGGTTGGAGGTGGCATTGCAGTGATTGTTTTGATTTTCTTGGGGTCTGGACGGATACCTTGTCGGTCCACGATATGTCCCAAGTAGCAGATTTGCGACTGGAAGAAACTACACTTCTCTGCCTTGACGTGGAATCCATACTCCTTGAGACGTAGGAAAAGCTGGTTGAGTGATGCAGCATGCGACTCCAAGTCCCGGCCGAATGTTTTGATTTTTGGACAAAACCAGGTGGCATTCCTATTTTACGAGCCACCGTTCGAACAGAGAGATTCGGGTTTCCTTCAATATCCTCTTCACCTTTCGGTTCATGACAATGTTTTTAAAACTTTTCAGTTTCCTCTCGAGCGTCAAACGTTCCGAAAATGATTTGATCACACCGTGAACAGTGGATTTAGGTAAATGCAATTTTTTGCAAGTTTCCGCATTGACAAGTCAGGATTTGCATTACGTCTGTACAAAATCCGCTCGCGCACGTATTTTTCATTAGTCGCCATCTTGAACACTAAACATGGAATGTAAACACTAATCATAGTCTTTTTCATCAATGGCTCCCAGCTATACCTCAGCGAAATTTTTCACTCTTACGTGTAATATTTTAAAAGTTACAGTGATTTGAAGTAAAGAGCCTGAATTGGGCAAAGAGGTGACATCTCATCCATTTGACAGGTCTTCTGCTCGACTAAGTTGAGATAAGCTAATTTGCAATAAGCAATAAGCTTGAAATGAGAAGATTATGAAGAAAAAGGCAGAATGGCCGCTATTTTATTTTTTACCTTGCCGCTTGTTTGATGGTTCGAATCTAAAAAACTACAAAGATTTATTGCAGGAAATTGTAATCGCATGTTTGCAGCAGTCTAGCAAAAGAGCACACGAAATCTTTATATTTTCTGCGATTCGTGCCATCAAAAATTCAAAGTGGCAAGGCAAAATAGCCAAAATGGCAACTTTCACCCAGGGTTCATGTTTTATTTGAACTTCTAATAACCCTATGAGCATCATAAAAGCGTGTTTCTGGTAGCCTTTTCTGCTGTTCTCCGTTCCGTTTCATCGACTGAAAATTCTCTTCTGTTATTTCATCAAATTATAACGATTTAAAATAAGAAAATATTTGATTTTGTGAAGTGTGCTTCCGGACTTGGCTGAAACACATCATTGGACCTGTCACTTTTTAACTCTTTTAACATCAAATTCTTGGTGAAACTTTGCAGAACATAATCCATTTCACATGCATCGCTTTGTAACTAAACAAGTCCTAACACCAATTGAAATTTTTGTGAATGTAATGTGGTTGGCCATTTGCTGACTTATTGTTTTTTTCCTTCTAAATAACCGTTGAAATTATCACGTATTTCTTTTCCCTTACTTTAAGGTATGCATAAATTCCTCGTAAGCTTAGGAAGCGACGAATAGGTTAAGTACGATAACGTTGTTAAGACTTCATCAGCATTCCAAAGTTCTCCAGGACACGTTTGCATCGAAATCGGATGAATTCAGTTCAGTTAACCTAAAAACTAAATCAAAATCTCAGAGGAAGCGTTCAAACAGAGAGAAAGCTGAATGCATGACGAACTATCAATCAAATTAGCATATCTAAGTGACTAAGAGATCGAATTAAAAGCTCACATGACTTCCGATCTTTCAACTAAGGAACAATCTCTATAGTGGCATTTTCCATGAATGAATTCCTCTTAGAACAACAACGGTATACGACGTACCTTTTAGGCCATCGCCGCCTCAGTCACCGAACCTGGAGGAAGCATCAAAACCGTCATGTAAGGTGCGAACGATGATGCATCACGAGGATCACAAATTTCACAACTGTGCTACCTTCACTCACTGCCTTGTCAGCCCTCTCAATCCAGATATATTTTCAATTATGACGTACATGTCTCTTGAGCTAAATACGCCAGCTTTTCACACATCGCAAGGTGTAAAATGCGGTCAACATAAGAGGAGATTTTAAAAACGCTATTTTGAATCATTCAACAAATCGTAAAAATACATCCGAGACGATAATGCCATCCAGTCTAAACTTCCTGTAGTAGGTCGTCAAAGTCGCGTCCACCAACAACCACATTACCGTGCGCGGTTGGGAAAACCGTCGAAACCTCTCCTCCTCAAAACCGATCTAGAGAAAAAGAGGATGGTCAGCGTCATTCGTCGTGTCCGCACGGCACCGTATGTAAACAAACGTGATATCTAGTGTTTGAATGTTGTGCGGCGGCAGTTTTCCAGATCCCAGTGCGAGAGACGGCGAAAGGTAAACCGCCCGAATGAGTACAAAGGGCACGACTTAACCGGATTAGGGTTGTTAATCCTCATTTTCAGCCGGCACGGGCAGTAGGCGGTGGTGTTTCTGAAGAACTCTGACGTTGGCATAACGTGGCCTACTGTGTTTTAAGAACAAGGAGGTAAACGTGCGCGCGTGATGGTGTTTATTTTTAAAAAGATCCCGTCACTTGATGGTTGGGTGAATTACGACCAATTTCGTCCAAAACAGCTCATTATCGTATTTGACAATGTAGTTGGGCCATTTTCGCGACTCTGGAGTTTATTCCGAGCCCGAGGAGAAATTTATGAGACAAGTGCTAATTAGCTGATCAGCGCTGTGCTGACTAAGACGCACGCTATACTGACTACATCAAGCGTCAAACGGTTGTACAAACAAACTACCAAATTTATATAGACACTGATGCAATCCAGACTCGCTGGTCTTACCTGGTAACAACTGTCGCAGGAATCCCGGATCAACGGTGGGAGCGACGTCTCGACATTCGATGGTTCTTCCATAGTCGCAGATGTAGTCGATCATCTTCTTACCGTGCGCGCGGAACTCTTCGGTATTCATTTTCGCACAGAACACGGGCCTTTGTTTCCACTCTCGACTAGTTGAAATATAATTGAAATTCCACTACAAACAATCCCGCACCGTGGGTTGTTAATTTGCCAGTTAACGTAAATATTGCTGTGTTTAATTTAGTTGCTGTGGTAATAAATCACGAATCACTAATTTCCCCTCTTTCACACTCGCAACTCACAGCTTGGTTTATGGCTTCTTTTTTTCTGTAACGACTTTTCAATCACTTTCACATAGAACTTGGTAAGTTGAGAAACTACCGACTTTCTGTTTTCGCTAGGATTCACAAACCAAATTTTCTATATCGCTCTTTTGGCAATCTTTGGATATTTTAAATTTTAGCTTCCTCTCTCTATTAGCTGTTCTTGCTCATGTAGCGCAAATTCGAATGACTACTGGTCGAGCCGAGCGAAAGCTTTTTATCCAACTGACGATGAGCGCTGCGAATCGCGATTCATTCGCGAAATTCACGCCTCCACTGTGTGAACGTGCCTCTTTCGGAGCCGGAGCCGAGAGCGGAGAGGAGAAGCATCATCAAGGCGATCCCAGAGTAGTCGCTTTCTTGAACGCACGCGTAGGAAGTGGAATTCTGGGTGGTGAAGAAGCGTGCCTTTCTATACCGGTCGGCCTAAATGCACGTGTTGTGATAACCGAAGATAGTGAGTGATGCAATTGTTTGGATAATTAAGTTTTCAAAAAGAAAGCTATAGGTTTTACATTAACATCTATTTTCTAACGGAATTAGTCACATCGTGATGGCATTGATGACTATTACATACGTCATGAAGTGTTCTGTTTAATGTTCTGATAACTGATCGTTATCAAACATTTCTAGCATGTGCGGCGCGGCGAGCATAAACCTACGCCACTCACACTGAATACAGCGCTACAAAGTAAGCAGTATCTTGCTATTTACGAACGTCGCTGATTTATGGTTGATTTTAACCTGGCCGTCGCTAGCAGCTTTATCTACCAGATATAAGGTGAGTCAAAAGTTCGACCTTAGTTGATTAGTACGGAATTTCTAACATATTGAGCAGGGTGGCAACTCTACTAGCAAAACCGGGATTTTGGTTCATTCAAATTGCATGGTTTTTGCACTTTGAGGCCATTTTTCACATTTTTAAGATCATTGTGGTTGTTGTCGATGTTGTTCTTTATTTAAGACATTTTACATCCAGCGGATGCATCCGTGCCTGTTGCAGTGGTTTCAGTGTAATAGTGTGTGGGGTTTTAATTATTTTCACAATCGTCCTGGAATTTTCGTCAGTACAACCAAAAAATCAACTCTGAACTATCCTTAAAACAGTTCTTCTCTCACAAATGATTTGGAGACTTGTTTTCCAAATTTCGCTGTGAATTTTTCTCTGAAATCATTAATTGATTCTAAAATCTACTTGAAAATTACTTTGAAATGTTCATCGAAATTCTTTCAATAATTCTGCAAAAGTGACTGAAAGTCGAGTCTAGTCTAAGGGGAGTACAGAGATCTCAATGCAAGCTTGTACAACGCACATCAGTCTCACTTGCAGAGTCGTCTCAAAGCTAATCCTAAGGAATTCTGGCGATATGTGAACGAGCAACGGAAAGAAACGGGATTGCCGTCCAATATGACTGATGGCGTTACTGATGCCAACTCCGTCGCAGATATCGCCAATATGTTTCGCACACAATTCAGCAGCGTTTTTTCAGACGAAGTTCTTGATGCTCAGGAAATTGCTGCTGCCACGAGTAATGTCCCTCGTACGTCGGTGTTTGGTTCTCCATTCACCATCCACAGCGACATGGTGATTTCAGCCGGGAAACAGATGAAAACATCAACAGGATCTGGTCCAGATGGCATTCCCTCATTAGTACTGAAACGTTGCTTAGACACTCTTTCAGAGCCCTTAGCTAAGGTCTTCAACTTGTCAATGACCTCCGGAGTTTTTCCAGAATGTTGGAAGGATTCGTTTGTTTTCCCTGTTCACAAAAAAGGATGCAAGCAGACTGTCGCCAATTACCGCGGAATAGCTGCATTGAGTGCTATCTCCAAACTATTCGAGCTAATTGTCCTGGAAAAGTTGGTTCAAGACTGCTCGTACAGTATTTCTCAGGATCAACACGGCTTCATGCCTAAGCGCTCGACGACGACTAATCTAACTGTTTTTACATCGTTCATTATTCGTGAGATTGAACGTGGCCATCAAGTTGACGCCATATACACCGACCTCTCTGCAGCTTTCGATAGAGTGAACCATGAAATTACCATCTCTAAATATGACAAAATGGGTGTTCATGGGAGTCTACTTACCTGGCTTCGCTCCTATCTGACTGGCAGATCTATGTCTGTTAAGATCGGTGACTACGCTTCTCCACCCTTCATTGTTACATCTGGTGTTCCTCAAGGCAGCCACCTGGGGCCATTGCTTTTCCTGTTGTATATGAACGACGTGAACTTGATCCTCAAATGCCTTAAACTCTCGTACGCCGACGACATGAAGCTCTACTACGTAATAAAAGGGCCTCAAGACGCTCATTTCCTCCACCAAGAACTTGAAGTCCTTGATGATTGGTGCCGGATAAACAGGATGTCTTTAAATGTGTCCAAGTGCTCGGTCATCTCCTTTGGCCGTAAACGGGCGATGCATTTCCACGATTACACCTTAAGAGGAATAAGCTTGAAACGCGAATCGACTGTCAAGGACTTGGGAGTCATGCTCGATTGCAAATTAACGTTCAAGGATCACATTGCTTATGTTGTATCTAAAGCTTCATCGCAGCTAGAATTTTTATTCCGTTTCGCCAAAAGCTTCAAGGACGTGTATTGCCTGAAGGCTTTATACTGTTCCCTGGTTCGACCTATACTGGAATACTCTGCCGTTGTTTGGTCGCCATTCTATCAGAATGCCATCCATAGAATTGAAGCTGTTCAGCGAAAATTTATTCGCTTTGCGTTGCGACACCTTCGTTGGCGCGACCCGCGTAACTTGCCGAGCTATAAAAGTCGCTGTAACCTCATTGACCTGGAGCTCTTGGAAGGAAGGCGTAATGTGGCGAAAGCTTGTTTCGTTGCGGATCTTCTGCAAGGGAACGTCGACTGCTCCACACTTCTCAGTCTTCTTGACATCAACACTCAACGACGGGACCTCCGGCTGCATGCGTTCTTCAACAACCGGCGTTCGAGGACCAACTATGGCGTACACGAACCAATGTTGAGTATGTGCCGCGTTTTCAATAGTTGTTATTACGTGTTCGATTTTAATGTGTCCCGTGAGAAAAATAAGCGTAGCTTTAAGAGATGTTTGCGTTAATTTTGTGTTTGAAGCAGTTTTGATGTTAAGATATAGAAAATTGTCATTAGGGTAACTATTTTATCTGTTGACAAGTAGAAATAAATAAAGGGGCTGTTAATAAACTACGTAGACAGTTTAGGGGGGTTACAATTATTCACGACGCATACAAATTTTAAAATTTTTGTATGGACAATTGTCTACGCAGGGGGAGAGGGGGTCAAGAATCCCAAAAAACTGTCTACGTAGTTTATGAACAGCCCCTAAGGGTATTTTTTTTAAGTCACGAATATTTATTATTTCCAGATTCGTCATCAATTCATGGGCTGTTCCCGTTTTTTTGGTGATTTCGGATTTAACCTGGATTTTCCGGTACACTGGGCGTGAATTTGTAAATAAATTCAGAAATTTTATCGTCGACGCCAGTACATATAATTCTATAGTGTTATTAGTGTTAGGTCAAGTTTTCATGTTTCAAGTTGTTTTTTAGAATCCTGTGTTTTTTAATTGATTGCTACAGTGCTTTCCCGATTTTACCGGCTCCCAATTTTGTCAGTCTAAAGATTTTGCTGAACCTTTTGATTTTGAACCATGAATTCTCAAGCATTTTGCTCCAAATGACACTTAATTGTTTTGTCGCAACAACTAACTAACTCAAATAAACCTCAAATATTGCGATACTGCACAGCTGTATCGAGTCCCTCCCGATAAAGGTAACTAGGTGGCGGATAGAGCTGGAGTGGCTGCAATACAAATTATGGGCAGATACCCCATTCAAGAAGAAGGTTTCGTGATCGCCAATATTAAAGGAATTTTCATATGCAGTTGCTAAGCACCCGAAGGACGATGGAGCAATTCCACGAGACGCTGGTTGGACTTACCGAAGAGCTGATCGGACAAAGACCGGTAGTCATAGGAGCTCCATTCCGGAAGCTCCAATTTGCCCTCGGCAGCAGTAGTGGTAAATCTGCCGGCCCGGACGAGATTGGATACCCGGTATTAAAAAACCTCTCCCTCGACGGAAAAACGAGGCTACTCGCCCTCTTCAACGATCTATGGCTCACTGACTCGTATCCGGACCTCTGGAAACAAAGCTTGTTTGTGCCCATTCCGAAGAACAACACGGCGAGTGAAGAAGCCTCCTCCTTTAGGCCGATTGCGCTAACTTGCTGCGCGGCAAAAGTGATGAAGAGAATGGTAAATCGTCGTCTTAAGCAGTTCCTGGAGTCAAACGGCCTCCTTGACGAACGGCAGCATGCGTTCCGGCAAGGACACGGCTCCTCCATTTACTTTGCAGCCCTCGGGAATGTACTTAAGGAAGCCCAGGAAAACGGTCACCATGCGGAGTTAGTCTTCCTTGATATTTAAAAGGCGTTCAAAAGGACATGGACACCTGGTGTCATCAGGCAGCTCATCGGCTGGGGCCTGGAAGGTCACATCACACATTTTGTACGGAATTTCCTCCTTGATCGTACCTTCCAGGTGACCTTCGGGAACACTCGCTCGGATCCGTGCCCCGAAGAAACTGGAGTGCCCCAGGGGTCCGTCATAGCCGTAACGCTATTCCTGGTGGCAATGAACGGGGTATTCAGCCGATTGCCCAAGAACGTACACGTAATCGTTTATGCCGACGACATACTCATCGTCGTAACGGGACGAACGACTAAGCGGACCAGGAACATAGCTCAAGCAGCAGTCTCCGCCGTCAGCAGGTGGGCGCTTTCGGTTGGTTTCCAGCTCTCCGCTCCGAAGAGTGTACGGTGCCTCTGTCACTCGGGCCATCTGATTCGAGGACCACCGATCACCATCCAAGATCACCCGATTCCGCTCAAGAAAACAGTGCGTGTTCTGGGGGTAGTACTAAGCTTCAACCAGCACTTCAGGATGGTGAAAGAAAACTGTCGTAGCCGCCCGCATCGCTCCAGCAACCGCGAGATCCGCCTTCGTGTCGCTCGGGCTGTTATCGACAGTCGACTTTTCTACGGCCTCGAAATAACCTGCTTAGCCACCGAGAAGCTCAACCACACCCTCGCTCCGGTATACAATACCTACGTACGCATCGTATCCGGCCTTCTCCCTTCCACGCCTGCAGACGCCGCATGTGTGGAAATCGGAATCCTCCCTTTCCGTTATCGATCTGCTGCAGCCATTGCTACGAAAGCCGCTGCCCTCGCTGCTGAGATATCCGGGAATGAAAGGGTCTTTCTCCTCAACGAGGGGAACAGAGCCCTCCGCACTGCAGCCAACCGTGACCTCCCCCCGGTGGCCAAGGTCCACTGGCATGGAGAGAAGAGTTGGCGATCAAACGTCGTCAAAA